GAAAAGGAACATTCGCTGTAGGATGAACGACTTGAAAAGAAGCCAACGTCACCGGCCGGCAATTTTTTTTATCAAAACAAAAGTTTGGGCACACATTACAAAATTTGAATATACTTAAAGCAACTAAGGAACAATACAAACAATATAAAGCCAACCGGGATTTTAAAAAAAAAAAAAAGACCAACCAGTCTGGCTTTATTTACCAGATGCGACCTTTTTGTTATGAGCGAAGCTCATAGATGGTAATTAGACATGAGGAAGATATATAGAAAGGGAAGACGGACAACGAAGACAACGAAGCGTACTGTCAAAACACCATTCAGAGTAATGGCACCATATCTAGAGGCTTCCGAACGCCCCACTCTTCCTCCATGGAACGTCATCGCAGTCGGATGCGGTCAGCTCAGCAATTGGACCCGAGCCCGATGCCGAACGTTTTTTGACGCGTTGATTAGACACGAGGCCCGGCCGAGCACTGACGCAGCGCTCGGATCTAATCTGTGCCTTCGCTCGCGATTTCGCTGTGATGACGTCACAATTCTAGCGCACAGGCTTTGATTATTCTAGGTGGCGTTGGTACAGTCGGTTGCTTACCCTTCAGTCCCTTTCACTCTAAGTTCGACCGCAGTCGACGCCACGTTTTGATGGAACCACTGCCCCTCCAAAGAGTGCATCATCATCGTTGTCTATGTTGATTTAATTGCTACCACCGGCCAAACCAATCGCGCTATAAAACAAGCGCAGGGCTGATGGTTCAAATGTTGATAGGAAACCCATAAAGGCAACGATGACGAGGCACTTTTGGCGATCTTTGATTGGCTCTATTGGACGTCGGCTGCAATTCGGCTAAAGTTCCCCTGAAATTTTTTTAACAGTTTCTTTGGGACACTCGTGCCAAAAGTTAATTTTACGTGAAAAAAAAATATTTTTAAAGCAATGTTGACGGCGCTAGACGCGATTGAGTCGGCAGTCACCTTCTTTCCACTTGTTTTCTCTTTTCGTATTTCTGGCACATAGAGGACAGGTGGATCGGCTTCGCCTTCACGCCCGAGATGGTCATTCCTGAATGACTTGTGACATCGTGGACTTCGCGCGCAAAATTTCAAATAAATGTCTCGCCGTCAATATTGCTCTACCAATTTTTTTTCGAGTAAAATTAATTTTTACACGCGTGTCCCAATTAGACTGTTTAAAAAAATATATTTTTCTTCTTTTTAGTGGCCCTTTAATGTGGAACCGAGTATCACTTTAACTCAAAAAGACGAGAGAAAAAAAAAAAGGCTGTTTGACCACTATTTTATTAAATTTTAAAATAAAGCTCCAAGTGTGTTCGGAAGTATGTGATCTGTTATCTACCTGGCCTGTCAGAAAACGGAGGGAATGCCTCAAAGACTTGTGCAGTCAAATGACTTTTAGCGTGACACAGGAAAACGATGATTAATTGAGCATGAATTGCCCAAATTAAAGACGCACGTCGTTGCATCATCCGAGAAGTTATTTCAATCGCCGAATTCATGACGGTTTAGGTCTGTGTGTGTGTTTTAAGGCAAATGGCGGCGCGCAGCAGCAGAATAAACTGAAAGACCATTTTTTTCCCGCGAAAATAACTTCTTTTGTCGATTTTGGCTGTCGTCACTTGTAAGAGAAAATATCTAGGAACGTTTGCTTTTATCCATCCCAGCTCAGCCAGTAACGTTTCATGGCATATTTATTTATTTATTTTATTTTCCTCTGAGACCCCGGAGGAGAGATATTACACGAGGGGTGGGCATTACACTAGAAAAGCGGCAAAAATTCGAGAAACCTGTGGACAAAATGCAATAGAATACAGAAAGAGCACATCTATATCAAGAGAGACAGGGAGAGCACACAAATGCACGCATGAATTTCATGATTATAAAACTATGATTGATATAGCGCTATAAGAGCTTCTTTAAATTGATCCAAGTCCCTAAGCTGTGCTATGTTTTCAGGAAGATCGTTCCAATATTTGGCTGTTTTAATAAAAAAGGAATTTGCAAACCGATCTGTGTCTGAGCGAGGATATGACACTTGTTGGGTGTTGTTAATGCTACTTGAAAAGTGCGAACGGAACGTGATGTAAGGGTTTGGTGACAAGGTGCATGTGATAATATTGGTGAAACAGTGACAATCTGGCAGTTCTTCGACGGTGATGTAGCGAAGGCAGAGCCGCACGTTTCTTTAGTTGGGTGACGCTCGTAAAAGACGAATAGTCGGAGTATACGAATTTTACAGAACGATTTTGAATGGCTTTCAAGTTTTCGATAAGATAATTTTGGTATGGATCCCATATTGCTGCGGCATATTCTAGTTTGGGGCGGATAAGTGTTGTATAGGCGAGCAGTTTTAGGTGAGGAGGAGCGAATTTTAAGGTACGTTGCAGGTAACCAAGAGATTTACTTGCAGTTGAAATTATGCTGTTTATGTGGATAGACCATGAAAGGTCTTTACTGAAATGCACGCCTAGGTATTTGTAAGTACTAGTTGCTTCTAGGACAGAACTACCGATGCAGTAATTATAAGTAAATGGATTGGTGCGTTTATGAAAGGAGACGAGTTTACATTTTGAAACATTTAAGGGCAGTTGCCATTGATTACACGAATTTTCTGTAGCTGAAAGATCTGCCTGCATTTTACTTGGTCATCGTAAACTGTTAATTTTGGAATATAAGACGCAATCATCGGCAAAGAGGCGGATGTTATTAAATACACAGAGCGACAGATCATTAATATATAATAAAAAACACATATGTTTCTTTTAGTCTAGGATTTACGAATCCTCGGTCCATTAAATATAAACTAAAGAAATGCAAAAAAGAAACGCGGCAGCCTTTTCTTCTTTGCCCTCTTTACGCATAAGTATAACCTGCTAACCAACACGCTCAACATTCGTATTACTGCACTGTAGTTTGACGATACCTGGCTGCCCTCCTCCGCGCTGAGCCTCGGGGCTCGAGATTCCAGCCATTCGAACTCCGTAGTTGGCCCAGCAGAAGCTTAAAAATCGCTTAATGCCTCCGAGACGCGTCATTCCTCGGGAGAGCTTCGATGGCCTCGCGCAGCAGAAGATCCGGCTGCACCACAACCCTAAGCCAACTGACGTCGCGCGACTGGAATGCATGAGCATGACAAAGAGGGGGCGCTCTCGAACGGCGGACAGCAAGGAGCGCGCAGCAATGACCGGAGACAAGGAAGGCTGGCGCGGGAATCGGCGGGAGGCGAACACCGGCGCGGGGAAGTGCGGGCGCGACGTCGAGCTGCGGACTCGACGGACACACCGGACAGAGACCCCGAACGACGGCGTCCCCATGACGCGGTGTGGACGACCACCGCTCGGACTAGGAGCAGCCACAGCGGACTTGCTTCCCCAAGGCCTCGCTGATGGCCGTCCCCCATCCCGAAGCCCTCCCAGGTAATAAGTGAGGCAATAAACCCTTTTGCCCGAGAGCAAAGTCTTGCCGTGTCCTGTTCATCCGGGGAAAGGATCTAAGGGTATCGGAGTGAGAAGCCCGCAAGTTTCATCCGACAAACTGGAGAACTGTTTTCTTGTTTATATTTCTGGTTGGTCGTACCTAGGTGTTTCTTATACTTCTATACGGATGCGAAGGAAAAAAGAGGAGTAAAAAAGTAATGCCTGTTGCAAGTACACCGCGCAGGTACTACATTGCCCGAGGCCGTGTCTCGGCGGAGCGACCATGCGCGCAGAGGGAGAGTTTACTAAGCTTTCCTCTCGCAACAAATAATGAATTGTTCTGTTCCTTCCATGCTCAATTAAAAAATTATATATTTTATTTATGTTTATTTAAATAATTGTAATCATGGCATGATAAAACTGTAAGATACACTTGTTACTCGTAATTATACTTGCGCAAGACAACAGAACAAGCCACAATGATTAAGTGGTTTTAGAATGTAATCCCGAATCTCACAGCTATATGGTAAATTAATATAATCAAATAACTTTTGGTCCAAAGCAAGGGTAATTGTAATTTATTATTTTTCTGAGTAACTTTTACTATAATAGTGCTTCGGTAAATATTCTCGTAAAATAAGACTTTTATTTAATAACCTTATATATTGTTGTTGAGCTATAGCTGTATCATCTTTCGTTGGCCACCATAGAAATTAAGTTACTGACCCTATACTTACATATTATTGGATTCTTAAATATTGTAGCTCCTCTTTTTTACACAAACGCCTATTGAGGAGTTCGACCTACTCTTTATGGAGTGTTGATGAATTAATACAACAAATACTACATGAATGAGGGTTGCATTATCAACAAAACTCAAGTATTTGGCCCATGACAACAACACACCGCAAAAAAAAAAGACAAGTGAAATGACGAAAATATTTCCTTGAGATGCGCGACCGAAAAAATCCGCCTCGTCCTGGTATCGAACCAGAAACCTCTCCATTCCTAGTGGAGCGCTCTGCCAACTGAGCTAAACTGGGGGTGTCTTTTTTTTTTATTAAAAAACTAAATTGAAATATTTTTTTGTTTTTTTAAAGGGGGCGGCTTTTTTTTTAGTTGATGAGTTAAACTGGAGTTAGACGTCAGTAAAGCAAGCGAATTTTTCCGGTCGCGCACCAGTTACTTAGCTGTCCTTGGAGATTTCTGTTGGTCTTTCAGGGATTATTTTCCTTATTCTTGTCCAGCTGGCTTGCACCTTTGCATTAATTGCATTATCAAGCAAAAAGAGCACACAGAACAAGCACTGAACTCGTTTCGCGTGTCTCCGCTTTTGGGGGTGCTGTTTTCCATCGTTAGTCATGAAACAGCTCGCCTACATCGCCACTTTAATTCACTTTAATCCCACAGCCAACAAAGACCACATTGTTTATAATTGAGTCATGGCTACTTTTTAATTTATAAGTGTTTGCTTTGAGCTGGTTAATTAGTGGAAAGTTTCACACCATTGCAAAGTAACTTGCCAAACTAACCTATCAGCACAAACGTGTCAAACCAACGTAAAGTGGTTGCGGGTTTCTAAAGCTACCCGTTTATTTATTGAGACTTAAATTATATTGTCCGTGGCGAGTAGTGCGGCGCTCCCGAGAATGTCTGACTCAGCAAGCCTTGGACGGCGGAGCGGGGCAAGCGGTCGAGTCGTCGCTTTTCCAGCCGACGAACTTTTCCTCGTTGTGTTTACGAAGCCATTCGAGCAGGGGTTGGAAATATTCCAGAAGCGGTCCCGCGTCCATTTTCATCGTCTTGTTCTTGGTTAACATCCCCAGTACCTCGGGCCACGGCTTCGATGATCCCAATGCCAAGATGTCACTGCACCCAGAAAGATGGTCAATGTTAGACTCCCAGGAACTAACACGTAACTGCTGCACGTTCTCAACGTACAAAAAATATAAATATTTTATTTCTTAGTGCTCCTGTACATTAAATTTGACGTTTTATTTAATTGCCACTAATTTTAAATAGCTAAGGTTTCTATTTGTATTCAAGCGTTTTCTTTCTAGTCATACATATCAAACGTAGGTAATTTGTTTATATTTAATGTCTAATCCCAATCAGCCCAAAGACGTTCCAAAATCTGCGATTAAAGGAATCAATTAACCTTAAATTCTCAGTTAAGTTTATATTGTAGTTGGTACTCTCGTAATTGTTCTGGGACTCATCTTGACTAGTTATCGGATATTAAATATTAAAAAAAATGCCTGACATTTTTTTTACCAACGAAAGAAGGTATTTTTGTAGCTCTTTTAACAGTAATTTATTAACGCTTTTGTGTAATTAGAAATCTAAAATATATATATATATATATTTATACCTTACGGACCATCAGCAGTAAGCAAATTTTGGCAAGACAAAGTCTATAAAAATGCATGTTCTTTCAGGAGTCCCCTAGGATTCGGTACTCGGTCCTTCGCTTTGTGTGTGTGTGTGCTTATTAATGATCTGCGGGTGGTCAACCCATTATTTAGTGTCGTTTTTTGTTTTTTTGCTCTTCCTGACAATTCTGTTTTGTTTATGAAAGTAACCTGTATTGCTGATCATGAATATTTAAATGATAATCTGCTTATGGCATTTTCCTGGTGCCGAAATTGGGAAATGAATTTGAACGTTCACGAATGTGTTCAAATGACACTCAAACGGTATCCACATATTTTTTACTATGTTATGAACTTCGTTCTTTTATAAATAGTGACTTCCTATAAGTATTTAGGTATACTCATTAGTCAAACTTAAGATTGTATGTTTATTTTGTCAATAACAAAGCGAATGCTTCCCATAAACTGTGATCTTTACGAAGGAATATATTTCATTGTTCTGCAGAAAAGGAAGCACGTGGCTTACATTTCTTTGACTCGTCTATTATTGGAATATGCAAAAATATAATAGGACCCAGATTCTCAGATATCCATTGATCAATTAGAAAATGTTAAGATAAAGGCACTTCGATTCATTTATAACGCGTACGACAGGAGAACGTTCATTTTATCCTTGTATGCCTCATCCGCGTTACAGGGTAATCATGTCGAAGAAAGGTTAAGCGCTTAAACTTTTCGTACTATCTAATACGCGATAAGATTTCATTAAATGTCAACGATTATCTGAAATACAACGACAGTCGTAAGAAAGGCGGAAGCACGGAAATCCGCTTCGCGTGTTTCAATGTAAAAATTCATTTTTAAATATTCCCTTTTTTTTAATTGTCCGGGATTTGAATGATTCCCTTCAAAGTGTGACAAGTCTTGTTACATACGATTGTTTCACTAGAGCTTTAGACGATTCTGTAGATAAGTAAATATCTATGAAATAATCTCTATTTTTGTAATATTTATTATATGAAAGGTGATATTGTATATTTTACGATGTTTCCCCTGCAACTGTACATGCAACAATGTCTTCCTGAAATAAAAATGTTATATAAGAAATAAAGAGAAAGTTTCGATTCACAGAACTCTGAGCGTATGTACTTTCAGGAGGGTTCACAAATTTGATATTTAGTTTCTGTGTATAAGGTGTGCGCTCACAGTGGATCTCACGCTGTACCATAAGCAGAAGAAATTGGCGCCTTCACATAAAAAAAAAATTAACTTTCACCGAATAAGCATTGCGGTGATGCATTTTACCGTGTGAAGCCTTGGGGCGTAATTATCTTCCCGTAAATTATTAGACGGACAAAATTGCCAAGGTCAATGGCGGACGTGTTGGCACACAACCAAATTAACGACGAATTTAACTTGTGACTACATCTTTCTACAGGCGCAGCAAGCAGACAACAAATTTCGTCGTCTGCAACCCGCGCTTATCGGTGGATGGCGCCACAAATTACATTCTCCGCTTACTCGGTCGTCTGCGAACATGTCCGCCGTTTAAATTGGCAAGTTTGTTGGTGTCATTCTTGACAGAAAACTTCACAAGGTAAAGTAAACCACGTCAGTAAACATTCCTGGGAGCGTTGAGCTTTTTATATGCAGGCGTCGATTCTTCTGGGTCGTCTTACAGCGTGAGATCCAGACAACCCCTAGTTGCAATGTAATATATCCGGAGAACGATAAATGCACAGACCCAAATAGCTTTCCAGCCTCCTTTGACTCATAGAAGTCACACTCGTGAAGTGGTCCTTTGTGGTTGGCCTCCTCACAAAGGGCCTTGTAGAACTGGAACTGTAATACTGTGCTGGCAAAATATCTGCGACAGAAAACCATAAAGGAAATATGAAGATAAATGCATGGTTTCCGAATACATTCCTCCCAATTAAATCATACCTTATGTAGGGGACGCTTGCAGAAATGTGATATTTAGAAGGAGGATCAAAGTCTTCCGGTGTGCGGGCTACTCCTGGACAGATGCCCTGGTGGTTTAGACTGAAATCAAGGTTAGAAGAAAAAAAAAAGAATTAAGTCATAAAAACCGCTGGTTTGATAAAATTGGCAGGTTTCTTTTGTTCTGCATCGCTTCCTATAAGGCATGAAGCGAGCCTCCGGCTCATGCCAAGAAAAGCATCCGGAATATATCTACAGGCTGTGGGAGCGCTTTTTGGGAATAAACATAATTTAATAAACTGCGTGCCATTAAAACTTTTAAGAACGTTTCTTTAAGTGCTGCTTCTATTACATTCAACGTTTATGAGTGTAGGTTTCAGGGTAAAAAAAAATTTTAGCCAGAAAGCACCCGTTCATTCTTATGCACAGGGAGAAAAACAGCATGAACGATATCGTGAACGCTGTCACAGATGACACAGCATAAAAAAACGTCAGGCTTCTTTGCAATGTAAATATCCAAAAGAAGATTCATCAGATTGAAGCGTGTCTGATACCATCTTTAAGTAGCAGCGTCAACAAGACGCTTTCGTAACTTTTTTCTCTATGGATGTGGATCAAAACTAAAAAAAATTGATGCTGTCTTTTTTTTTTTTACTTTTTTTAAAAACTATTCCCATACATTTTGAGTACAATCAATGCACAACCTAAAGACACATTTGTGAAAAGTTTTAATGTGGTCCCATAATTCGTGTATTTATTATACACATTATTTTATACCCGGACAGCGCTCAGAAACAGGCTATCCTCGACATTTAAAAGCAGCTATCTCGTGGGCTCTTAAAATTATTGAGATTCAGAACGTCACAACAACGCACTCACAGTGATCATGAAATGAGCTAACTGTTGATGTCAGGATTCAATTTCGATTGGACTGAAGGAGGAATGGCGGACGCCTTGCCTTATAGGAGGCATTGGTTCAGGTCCTCCTGGAATACCCCGCCAGGTGTATCTTGAAGCTATGCTGGAGCTTTTTTGTACTCAATCACTCGGGCAAATGTAAAGGGCTATTTCGGGACATGCTTTCTTTCTCCCAAAAGTGGCCCTAGAGGTTCAGCTATCCGGCTGTAGCTCACATGCAACGTCTAGAGTCTCTGTCTTTCGATATTCTACCAATTTTAATCCGACATTAATGTGAATTTGTCAACAACAACAAATTCACGCAACAATAAGTTTGAATCGTAGTACCTTAACGGTGATTGGTGGTGTTCAGCTGGCCTTATCTGAAGCTCAGCTTAAGCCTGTTATAGAGTATCTGAGTTTTTTGGTACGCGGAAGTTTTTTTTTTATTTAATGGGCGCAGAAAACAATCATCTACCTAGGGATATTACCCCGTCTTGCAATTCAATTATTTCTTTTTTCCAGTCAAAAAAAATCTTCCTACTTTTACTGCAGACATGTCTCCCTTTAACGAACTGGGAAACTCTTCAGAACAAACTAAAGTCACAACTGTTTAAAATACACACACACATATATATATATATATCAAGGACAAGCTGTGTTTGACGCATTTGAGCATGGGAAGCTACCAGCTAGCAGCTTTTTTTTTAACCCCACTTTTCACAACTGTACTTATTGTGCCTAAATAAAAAAAAAAATCCCTCCCTCTTGCGCGCGGGCTTTCTTTTTCAAAAGTAAAGTTCCGCCAACTTTCAGACGTATCCGAACCAGACTTATTCTCTTAAGGCTAGCTGTTTTATCGCGAATTGATACATAATTTACTATCACCCGATTATTTCTGCTTAATTAAAGAAGCACGATGTCGTACGTTACCCAAACCGCAATTTTAAATTGTAATTGTTCTTTATGTTTTTTCTCTACTTCCTGGCGGTCACAAACGCCAGTGATTGCTAGCCTTACGCATGGTTGGGAAGGGCAACCAGGCGCGTACGTGTCCAGCGCACCCGCTACGGCAGTTTAAAAGAAGCAAAGATGGCACGGCACGTCCATGAATTTCAGACGCTTCATATGAGCTCAAGGCCTGTGCCGAAGCGCACGGACGCCAACAGCTTCGATGTAACAGCGACCCGTTGAGGCATGAACGGTTAGGGACAGCACATTTAGCAGTATGGTAAATATAAAGTTACCTGCTCGAATTTCGTCGCGTGACATAATTCAGTACGTTCTTGAAACATTTTAATAACGTAAAGTATCGTAGCTGAGTTGGAATGTCCAGACGGTGCTTGAAATGTCCGAAAAACAGAAGATTAAAAGGGGAGATTATACTTTAAAAAATTATTAACCACTACTCTTCAGATAAGGTTGGCTCTTAATGAAAGAAGGAGCAGATTTTTATCAAACAATATCAAGGTAACGCGTACATTTCAACAATCCCATTTTATTCGGGTATTCATGCATAACTGTTGTAACTTCACGAAAGCAATTATATTCACTGAGGAATAAAAGAGCGAGAGGCGTTGCGTTGGTTGCACCAAACAGTCAAAAGCGGTACGAATAAAGAAACGAAATATGGTGTTTTGCGTTAAGCAATACCAAATTACTCGCAAATTATCAAGGAAGTGACTATATACTCACAGAAGGTCCCACCATCCCTTGTTCAACTGTTCGGATTGATACTTTCCTTTGAACACGTTCCAACGCCAGCGATCGTAGACGTACATCGAAGGGATTCCGGCAACCTTGTCGAGGGCAATTTTGTACAGGTAATTTATGCCAGTCTCTGAAAAAAGGCGTTTTTATTCACTAACAGCTTAAGATAGACCGACCACTATGTTCAGGTTTCTTGCTTTAGGACTGCGTTTCTTATACTGGCAGGTGACAGCTTAAGAAACTTCAAAAAATACTTTTCAGTCGAACGTGAAAAAATATATTATTTATCATTTGCAGTTATCTTTAGTAACCGAAAAGAAATATGGCGTTCGCCCAGCTACTTTGTGGCAACTTTATTTTCCCACAGGCAGATAGATGGCTCTGCATTATGTAGCTGGCCCTACTTCACAACAAATAAATATCCTTAAGGTTAAAATTTCTTCAATTAAATTTTGAAACCGCAGTAATATATTATATTGTGGTAGATATATGCTGCGTATCTATCCTTTTTAACTGCCAAAGTAAAGCAATGTTCAGGTCTGCTTCATTAATCTTAAATATGAACGCATGTAAAGTCTCCAACAAAAATAAGTACACGTAATCTAATTTATTCTTATGGAAGCCGACTTTACACCGCCGTGGTTTTTTTCATACAGCTGCAGGATTGTATTGTTTTTCATTAAGTCGGGTTTAGAATTATAAGAAAGTGCCCACTTCACACATAAGGTAGGGCAACAATAAAGTTCTAAGTACTTTTCTGGAAATGCATGTTATCTGAACATTTCTGCATGACACTTCATAATAAAGTAACATGCATACTAATCTACTGCATTTCTATACACTTCATGTTTCTTCAAGATTATCACATTCTCTGAGTGTTTATTTGCGTAGGCCCCCAAACAATAGAGCTCAAACTCAATCCGGCCTCTTTCAGCGTTTGTCGCCTTCCATTATCTCTCGATTTGCAATATATATATATTAAGGAATGGAATCAAAACTTCGAAATCATATATTAGTTTTCAATTCTGGTTTGAGAAACCAACAGATGCGCGAGTGAAATATAAAGAACTGTTTTATATCATACTGTTTTAGACAAGACGTCTATAATAGGTTTCGAATCATGCACCTCGTCTAAGAACAATTATTCCTAAACTGTTATCTTATTTACAGCCTTCGATTTATTACACTGCTGTTATCTTTTTCAAAGGCTGAAAAACGAATGGACCTCTTCTTTTGTTCAAGGCCCTCAGAAGAACTCACATGTGACATAAAATTGAATTTGTTTTTTAATGCTAGGGAAGACCTAGCATACTCTTGTGAGACCCAAAAGTATCACAAGATTAGATATTACAAAAGTATATTTAGCACAATATAATTTCCGTTTGTAACGAATACCTTAAAGGGGTGTTTGTAAAAATCCCTGCACTCTACTAATTTTGGGTATAACAACATTTGTCCTGCAGCGGCCCGAATCGACTCAAAACGGAGAATAAGCGGACCAGATAAAAAAGCAGTGGGGGGGGAAGGGGGGGGGGGGGGGCGTTAGCTTGCGAAAGGAAAACGTACAAAACTGTCATAAGTTCAAATTGTCCAGGAAATATGAGCTCTCTCTTTTTGATTTAGACACTCATAACTCAATATTTTCGAGCCCCAATTCAATTAAAGCTTTTGTGCTCAATATTGCCCGCCGAGATGCTCACATTCACTTTAAGGCTACTAACTGGGAGTCCTAAGACGTTATGTATATAATCATGCGTCATTCGCAGCCGCACATTTGTCTTTATAGTCTTTATCCTGGAAACATATGATCGGAGATAAAGCATTGATGGTCGCAGAAACTACTATCAATGCTGCCACAAACTTCCGTAGATTTGAAAACTGATTCAGGAAGGCCAAAGTTAAACGTAACAAAGTCGTTTACTGCATATGCATCTTTCAAACTATTCTCTGATTGGTAATCAGCGAGGTTTATCTGCTAAATATCTTCAAGTAGTCCGAGGTGTGCCTTAAATAATTTTTGGAAATTGTGTCTCAAAATCAGGAACATGTATTCAAACTGCCCGTTTGTGTCATATCCTATTTCACTGAGACTCTCTGCGTGGAAAATTGTGCTCGTTTTTCTCACCAAAGTTCTCCAAAAAGTAAAATAATTTTAAACAATTTTTGGTTAAGATTTTGTTTTGTTGGAAAAGATCGAGCTTCGGCTAGAAAACTTTAATAACATCAATGAACACCCAGCCTCGAGTTTATCTTGCTTTTGTTGCATTTCGTACAGGTCGTTAAGGTTATGCAGAATATCAACCATGTAATGCCAAGTCGCACCCTCAATGAGGATCAGGGAGATTCTGCAGGGTCGAATTCCTCCCACGGAGAAGAAACGTGATCTTTTCACATAGAAAAAGGAAACAGCAAAAATCTTGTTTTCCTCTTTAAACTTTTGTGTAGTACTGGAAGTCCCCAAACGCCACCGTGTTAGTCAAACTTTGATGGAATTAAAAATGACACTCCCTACAAAAGTTTCTGCTATACTTCGTTTCGGCTTAATTGCAGACGCAGCCGACGCTACGAGGTAATGCCACCAATCAATCTGCGCCAGAAGCGCAAGTCACTCGGCGTTTTTTTATGATTTGTCCAGCGATGATAGAGCACGTACAGAAACATGAAGAACACATCATAGAAGTGTGCTTTTGACACTGTCTGGTTGGTCCCATCAGCTCGTAACGTTGGCTTCGTCCAGACTTAAAGTGAAATAATGTATACATAATTATTGATTACAAATGCATCGCATTGGTACTCAACAATTGCTGATGATAGCTCAGTAAACGTGGATAGGAAACAGATCCCGCGGCGTGTCGTTTAAAAGATAATACGTCCGGTTATACGAGGCTTTCAATTAACTGTATTTCTTGCGCCATCGGCACTCGGGAGTGTTTATACGCGTGTGTACGGTAGTGGGAAGGGAGGGGGCCTGTTCTGGTGGTGTGCCGGTTGCCGAATATTATTGCCTCGCGAGCCACATCCAGGTTGCAGGCCGCCGGTTGCCGACCCCTGACCTAATGAAATATATATATGATTTGCGAGTGAATCACGAGTACCTGTATCTTCTGGGCTTTGCTCCAAAAGACCAACGGCCTTCAAGTGCTTTGGTGTGGCCACGGAGAGAGATATTGTATCCCCTATTGCCTCGTGGAAACCTGCGAAGAATATATTCGTGCGCAAGCTGTAAAGCTGCACAATCTGCCGTACAACTGACAGCGTAAAACTGTTTGACGGTTTAACATCGGTAATGACAGCAAAACTCACCAGGGTTTGCACCAGCCCTGAAGTAGTACGGTTGTTTGGCATAATTGAGGTCGTATTCAATGTGACCCATCTCATGATGGACGACTAGAAGATCATCCATCTTCACTTGCGTGCATTGCTTTATTCTGAAAATATAGATTGACAAATCACAATAAACAACTCGCCTCCAGCGTAATAATAGATATGTAACTACAAACAATATTGCGAAGTCATCACACGTGGAGTTATACCAACATTGCACTGGAATATTAAGTTTTTTTTTAAATAATACGCTAGTAAACTCAACTGTTTTCATGTTACTGTCACTATAAGCAGCATATTTCAATTATCATAAATCATCAGAATATATGCCGCCAGTACAACTTCTCTGGTAAGTGAAGAGATTGCCATTTGAGTTAGTTCGTCTCAGAGGATCTCAAATTATTCATTTTTTTATTGTGCAAAACCTTCGAAACTTTAAGAAGTTTTTAAAGATAGTTTGTGTTAGGCATTTCTTACCGCACATCGCCGCTTCCACAGAAATCCCAAGCAGATGCGTGGCAAACAATTTCTCTGTCTGTCGGCTTCTCCAGCACCGACTTTTCCCAGAAGGAATCGGGCATTGGTGGAAGCCCCATGGATGTAAAGAATTTCTCGGAAAGTTTGAACATTTCTGTCGGTGTCATGTTCTATAAGTCAGGAGCGACAGCCAATTAGGACATGTTACGGTGTCGTAGCACCATTAGTTCATGTTTATATTTCGTACCATTTTTAACATTGCATCAGTCACATCAACAGTTGGTTTTCCGGGATATGGCTGTGTGAACTTGTACAATGAGTTCCATTGCTGAGAGTGGATCTGACCTGTTAGGATAAATAATAAATTTGTTTGGGCTTTGAATTTCCAGGATGAGTAACTCTGCTAAAAAAAATTTAAATTATGAAACCCAGTTTCTCATCGGCTAATTTTTAAAACCAGCTTCTGCTATAAGAAATCAAGATTATCTTGTGCCGGTACTCCTTTTAATTATGGAACACAATCTTGTTACACAACACATTATTGGTAATATAAAACTGACCTTCATTCCGTAATATGTAATCAGGCCACAAAGTGTATATCCTTTCTAAAGCAGAGCTTTAGAAAGGATATACACTTTGTATATATACAAAGTGTATATCCAAGGATATACAAGGATATGCTCAGTCCAAAGCACAGCAGTACTTTGGACTGAGCATATATCTCTCGTCACTTTAAAATCGCTATAGCTGGCTCTGTTCAGATAAGATGATGCACGCGGGTCCAAACTTTTTTTCTTTATAGGGTACTCCTCAACGTGTGTAGAAAAAGTAATCTAATTTTTTTCTTTGCAAGGAACAATATTTGTAGAGAAACAAAATGTTGAGTGCGCCAGAATGGCATGTTCGATTCTTGAATTCTTAGTTCAGGTCATGTTTGGTGACAACTACTACATAAACTACAAATATCAGAAATTTCAAATACTTTTTACCTATGACAGATCGTTGGAACTGTTGATTTAAGTATGTACAGCATTGTGGAGGGTTATGTTTTGCGTTCAAAATACGCAAACATTACTTTTTTGACGTGTTGTCATTAGATCTTTTAGCCGTTAAGTAAACAAATTAAATAGCTACAACGTTTAACCTTCTCTCATATTTTCTTATTAAAACGTTATTCCCAATTATATCTATCTATCTATATATATATATATATATATATATATATATATACATATATATATCATTGTTTTATCTCAAAAATTAATTGTTTTTCTGTCACTCCAAACTTTTTTATTGCACGAAGTTAAAACACTGAAGGGAAAATGAAACGAGCAACCCGTCCTTGATTCTCCTGAAATTTATAGTGATGCTTCTCTATGATACTCCTGTGTTTATTCTTAAAAAAACACGCTGCATCGATTTGTTCTCTTCATGGGCACAGCGCTGCAAAGAGTACCTTCCATGCTGGCATTTTTGCGCGATGCCAAAGTCGGGATTATATTTTGATTCCGCGCATTTTATGACTACATGAATATTTTGTGTTGTATTTGGGCATTGGGCTCGAAGAACTCCTGAAAGGAAAACAAAATTGTTTTTAAGCAGACTAAGTGGAACACGCGTGTCAAAAACTTTTGCACGAAAAAAAAATACATTTCGAGCAATATTGACGGCGCGAGACGCGATTTGGTCGGTAGTCACCTCCTTTCCACTTGTTTTTTCTCTTGGCATCTTGGGCGCGTGGAGGAGAGGTGGATCGGCTTTGCCTTCACGACCGAGATGGTCATTCCGGAATGACCCGTGACGTCATGCACTTCCGAGCGCAGAATTTGAAATAAATCTCTCGCTGCCAATATTACTCTAAAATTATTTTTTTGCGTAAGATCTATTTATTGACAGGAGTGTCTCAGGTACTGTTTAAAAAAATATCTTTCTCTTTTCAGGGGTCCTTTAAGTAAAAGTATTCTCCTAATTAAAACAAAGCCCACATTGCTCGTTATTTGCATTCATTTAACCAATAAGCCTGTTTTTCAATTTAAAGTTTCAAGTTCTAAGAGCTTTAGCCAAATTTTTCAACTTCAAACTTCTACTACTGCCTTTATTTCTTACAGAAAGTGATATTGCTGTAAAAGCAAGAACAGAGTTGCAAATTATATGCGAATATATACATAGAGAGAAATATCTATATTCGCGACGAATTGGGAATGTTTGAGCCACCAAGCTTGTTAAACTGCTATTCATGACGGTTGTAAATCCGGCTGGCCACAGTAAGCCTGTACCTCACTGGCAGAATTTCACTAAAACGCTTGTTAAGATTAAAACAATGGTGATGCGTGAATTGAAAAGTTGTAGAGCGCAGTGAGAAGCACCCAATTAAGGTGTTTCATACACGATACACTTCGCGCCTTTCTTTTTGTTTTAGTCTAAAAAGAAAGCCCGCGAAATATGAAAAAAGACCACGTGACAACGCGCACGTCCGTCGCGCTTGCAGCGCTCTCAGACGTGCTCTGAAGGAACAAAGCCCATCATTTCACTGGCGCGCTGTCCGAAACAGGGCTTTGCGGCAGCAGGTGCTCGCGCTTATCTTCGAGGACTACCCCGACAAGAAGCCCAGTCTCGGACAGCGCGCCAGTGAAAAGGCGGACTTATTTACTTCGGGGCACGTCTGAGAGCGCTGCAAGCGCGACGCGCGTAAAGCGCTGGATATCCTGACTTATCAAAGCAATGCCAATTGTTTGATCATGCCGCTTCCTCTCCTATTGGGTGCCAGCGACGCGTCGTCATTTTTGGCTCATGGCGCATCCCACATCAAGACGAGCACGCTCCTATTACATCTGCTGTGGCTGCCGGTGACGCGCCGCCGCTTGCGAGAACGCTTTCATTGGTCTATTGTACATGCCGGCGCCGCGCCGACGCGCCAAGCTCGATTGGTGGCGACACTCCGCCATTTTTGGCTCAATTGCATCCCAGCATGCAGCAACTTAGTGGTACTCGTTTATAAAATTTAAATTCATCCAGCGCTTAGACTCACGGGCGCATTGTCACGGGGTTTTGTTTTCATATTTCGCAGGCCTTCTATTTAGGGTAAAAAAAGAGGCGCTCATATGGTATCGTGTAGGAAACACCTTAATTGAATGTTTCCAAATGCGCTCCACAAGTTTCCAATTAACACCTCGGCTCTTAAACGAATAATTAAAAAAATAGCTAAATATTCTTAACTGACTAACTGACGGACTAAAAAATGTGCACTATCTCACACCGCTTCTTAACAACATACAGTTGGTTTCACTCTAGCAGAGCGCTCCGGTTTTTTTTTTTTTTTGTTGTTTTTTCTAAAGTTTGGTGCAAGTTATATGGGACACACTTATTTTAAGGAAATCTATTCAGCTCTCTTCATAAACACTGATGGCAGAATGTTTCTTCTGCCGGTTGAAATAATTTTTCGAACGAAAGGAAACAAGCTCGGTTTCATTGCGAAATTGAGATCCGTGTGCGAGCGTCGCTTTTATTTATAATTGTCACAATAGCAGTCTTCATTCAAAATATGAAGACGCGTAATTTGGTCATAAGCAATTTTGGTCCTAAAGTGTATACTGCATTTTTGAATGAGATCAAGAAGTAGCCCAATTATGCACAAGCAGTATTGTGCAAAATCTATCTTCACAGATTTGAAGGGAAGGGGTCATACGCAAGAGTTTGATCATATATTGGAAGAGAATGCAATCAAGTAAAACATATAAAGTGTATTGTATAAAGCTAGATGCAAACATAACATTGCGTTTTGACCGAAATAGTCATAGACAACACAACGTCCATATAAAGACACTTTTTATAACAGCGTGGAGTCAGTTGCAGAAAGGTACCAGATTTGTGCTTTTATCAGCAAACATTGAGAAGGCAATTTTTTAATCCACCCGACCAAGAAATGTGTGTTTCCTAAAAGTAATATTTGTTTCTACGCTCCTGATTCGCCGTACATCGCTCTAAAAGTTTAAAGTATCTGAAGTTCATGAAGACCTGCTCCTGGGATTACTTACATAATTAAAAACTGGCCTCATGGTCAACCCCTGAAATGCTCTTCTCAATACTCTTCTCGTTATATTTTATCCTAATTACAACAATGTTTCTAGATTGCTTCGGCTGCTTTACAGGGTCACTGCAGTGTCATAAGAGCGCGAAAAATGAACTTCATATTTCGGTATCTTTCGTTTCATTCAACCTGCAAAAACAATATGTGATTCTCACGTTTCACGGCCGAGTAAAAGAAGAAAGAAGCGGACAAGAGGCGCGAGGAGGAGAAACATCATTCGAAGCAAAGGAGCCAAGATTTCGGCGATGACCCGAAAAGGGGCGCAGCTTCGGGGTGGTGCCCCAAAGCCACTGAAAGGAATTCTGCAGCGAACCGGAGAAGGCTCGGCGTCCATCGAAGAGGGAAAGAAACCTCGGCATTCATTCGACGCTGGCGTGAGACTCGGCAGCGACCGGAGCAACCTCAAGGGTGCCAATGAAGTTGCAAGAGAGACCGATTCGGTGGTGACCCGAACCATGCAGTGACCGCGACTCCAGGCAGTGACACGAAACAAGCCCACAACCGAGTATTTCAGGAGGCAGACTGGCCAACAGTTGAGACCGAGCATCAAATCGTCCTGTACAAACGTACATGTGAGACTATTGAGAACTTTTGTTCATTGGTATATTAGTTTCTGAATGTTCTTTCTTTTTTTTTGTGTGTGTGTGTAATACATCATCATTTCTTCCAGCATTGGGCACTTTTTTTGCTTCTCCAACAGTTGGACCCTGAACCGTGACAAAAATAATAAAGGATATCTATGCTGTATGAAATCTCGAAAAACTTAAACGTTTTCTTACCCAGAAGATGAGCAGGAATGGGGCCGTCCTCCCTCACTTTGTCGCCGTGGAGGGCGTGCAGCCTTGCCCGGACGTACGCGTGCAGTTCCTTGTACAAGGGCTGCAACTGCTCCCATAGCTGGTCAATACTTTCCTCGAAGTCCTCACACTCGTAGCTTTCTTGCCACATTCCGCTTGCATCGTCAAAGCCTGGAATCGCCAGTGTGTCAAAGAAATCATGTTTCGTCGGCATCGCCTTATAAACATATTAATCATTCATGGATCGCCGAAAACGAATGCGTTTTAATGTAACAACTTCAAATGATTTATCATCTAGCCCGTGTTCTTGTATAATTTCCGTATTAACTTAACACACAGATAAAAAACACAACATTTCATCACTCGTCAACTCTTAAAGAGACACCTTTGATAACTAAGACAACCTCATTTATGATTCATTAATTAGAGTTTTGGTGAGAAAATAGATGTCTACATCAATGGTTTCGTCCAGCCTTAGTAGACAGTTTCTGCAAGCAAAGGGCAGCCTAAAATCTCTTTAAAATGTCTCAATTCCTTTTAACAGAGTATCGTATTGTCTCAAATGAAGTAAAATCTTCAGGAAGTAATTAGTTTTGAGTTCATCTTATTGGCGAGCCGGTCTCTTTCAAATAGGTTTTGCATTAAGGTCGGAACGGCCTAATATTTTATTCTCTAAACTTTATTGGCCCTTGTGTAACAGTGGTAGTTTTTTCATTTCTAACCTTTCATGCAAACCGACAAAAATGATTAATAAATATAGACCTAAACATGTTCTTTGAATCTTCTCTAAAAGATGACTGACGTATTAGCTCGATATATTGAGATGGACGTGTTTATGTTTGCTAACAAAAATAATAAGAAATCATAAGGCTTTCTCATTTCAGAGCGATCGTAGTAAAAGCACCGTGGAGAAGTTGAGGTTCAACATGAAGTAATTATTCACTGTATTAAAGTGCAATGAATAATCCAGGGCCATCGGAATTCGAAAGTAAAGGCCACCTTAACACATTTAGTGTATATTTTACTGCGTTAAACATTTATTTCGTTTCTAAGACGTGACTTTTAAGAGGTATCTTAAAAGAGGTACATTTTAGACTTAAAGTTGACCTTTAATGGTTATAACTGCATTTACGCAGGCTAAGTGTTAACACAAATACTGAATTGCATTCACCCGTGACCTTTTTCATTGTCTCAACCACGACCGAACAAAGAATTACGCCTCTTTTGAATATAAACCCCAGAAAACCAGCTCTGTCGCGAATTGCGGCCGCGTCTTAATAAAAAAAATTGCCAGTCCTGATTTTCACTGTGGGGTTTCTGTGATTCTCAGGTTGTCTACATTGAGTTTGTGCAATATAAAGACGATCTCAAAGCCGACTTTAATGCCCTTTCATATTTCCGCTGACGATCCAACTTGACTGCAAGTTTAAACTCGTAATTACCGTTTATCTTAGCGGCTTCGTTCTGGAGTTCGACGTAGCGAGAATACTGGGCCTTCAAGGGCCTTCCCGATACTCTTCGCCATTCGTTCCAAACATGAAGCAGCTCGTCGTAGTCTCTGGAGTCCTGGAGAATGTTCTTGATAGCTGTCCAAAGAAAGTATGTTTCAACATTGGCTGTTCGTTGAACCGATACCATCATCAAGAGTATCAAGGATTCCGGTGACATTCGTCATTAGACTACGCCTGTGAGAACTCTCTGGCAACGCCACATGGAGAAGCATGCATATTCTTGGTGAAGGGTAGGAGAAGAAGTAAGGAATTGGTACATCCTAAGATGGTATAGTTTCTTCCTGTCATATTAAACAGCAATTAAAATTTTTTTTTTTATCATTTCTCTTTAGTATTATCTCTTTAACCAGCACGCGTTGTTTTGTTTCTTTTTTTCTTTTTCTTGTGCGTAAAATGATTTTGAGTATGCCGCATTTTTGTGTGGTGGAGTAATTATTTCACAAATCACTTGAACGACACAAATGGTAATATTTTGCCTGTCATCTTTACCATATAGTATGTCTCTTTTTTATTAGGAATTAACGCTTTGCTCAGTTTTTTTTTTTTTCTAGATTGAACTTTTATAATGCGTTTCGGTATGCTTGTTATTAAGATTTTGATATAATCACTGGAATAGCGTTGAAATTTCGTCGGCCATTTTTACAGGTTATGGAAAGTGCGCATTCCTGCGGCTAAAATTCGTCCTAACCATCGCCTCCACATTCCAACAACAAAAAAACTATAGAAAATATGTGGAGAGGTTGAACACATGTAACGGCGTGCATAGTGTCACAATACAGATGGCAGAGTGGACCCTCTCTAAAATTCAGTGCCATATAGTGGCTCAAACAACGGCTTAACCTTGGCCACACTAATGCCAGCAAAAGGAATGGAGTATTTTACCGGGTACCGTCACATTCGTACGTCAGCGGCAGATGGGAATGTATTCTGCACTGCAGAGTTCTTCCCGAGTTTGTTTTAGTTTTGTGGCGACGAAAAAAAAACGATGTTCACGAAGCACTGACCCGAATAAAGCTCTTGATAAAGTTATCTACATTAAGGGCCGTTATATATTTATGTATATATAGGTGAAGTAAGGTCAATATAAAAACAATGGACCGGGAAAAGTTAATAAGTCAAAGATGCGTGCTGTCGGAGTTACTTCTTCGAAGTTTATTACGACGTTTCGAGCGGGGTAATAAACTTCGAAGAAGTAACTCCGACCGTACGCGTCTTTGACTTATATCTATATGTATATACATATAGAGAGAGAGACAGAGAGAGAGAGAGACGCTTTGCACACGATCCAGCTAGAGCCGCCATTGCTAACCTTCTCTTCTCTTACGGGGGTACCGAGCCACTGAAACGGGTATTGACGAGCCTCCAGAAAGCCCATTGCTGAGAAGGACTCAATAGAATTTAAGATGGCAATAACCTGGCCTGCTATGGTAATGATGAAAGGAAGAAAATGGAATGGAGGGAAACAGAAACTGAAGGACAGTTATGGCGGCGCCCATGCACAGCTGCTGCAATCGCGTCTATTGGACCAGAGTGAAAACTGACGCAGCGCACGCATTTCGATTCTGGCGTCACCTTATACTAACATCTCAAGTGTACATTACCCCTATCATATATTAGGACGCGTCTTAAACTTCTTCCTTCCAAAATTACGATAAAGCCGCCATTGGTATGAGATGAGTTTAATGCAATTCGGTTACGATCGCTGTCACAGTGGCAATTCTGAATATTGGAACGAACCGGTTTGAATCACCGAAACTTTCTGGACTCCGTCGTTTGCTAAGCTCTCTCCTGAGATAACAATGATTGTCGTCCGCGTACTCAAACGGAGAGAAGGTGTTGAGTTCGGCTGTTTTTAGGGTTCTTCGAGTGTTTGAATATAAAACCGCTGTAAAAGTGGTAGGTAGATAAGAAACAACCTATAAGAACTTGCAAAATGCGGAAATGTAAGAATATATAATAAAACAATTAAGCTCAATTATGAGTCGTATGAGCAAGGGACATTCAAGAATAATGTAACCAATCAAAGTTTGGTTATACACTCAGTAACGCACGCATTTCTTACTTGGTTCTAAGGGCACGTTACACTCGTCACTTTGGTTGGTCATACGGTGAAAGGGGCAGATCTTGGCAGCAGCATGATTTCCTTTCATATCGGCAACTATCTTCAAGTACTGAAATATCGAAGACGGGTTAGTATGACGCTATGCAGCGTATCCCAGATAACTTGCAACAAACTTTAAAAAGACGAACCTCTCTGCGCAAATTAAACGAACTGTATGTATGTTAGGAAGCATCTTACAACAATGGACAATTTTTAGTGCGCCTAGTTAATTCATTATTAAGATTCATTAGATAACTTTTAATTGTTCGTTTAAGGGCTGAGGTGCGAAATGGAAAGTAGTAGCGCGCGTTGAAAAAAAAAAAGTAACAGGTATTTGCTACATGATATGGTTGGCGCGCTTTCTTTAGCCTGCAACGAAAGCTCGTGAAATATGTCAAAAAGACTACGTAATCGCATGCCACCGCGTCGCGCTTGCAACGCTCTCAGACGTGCTCCGAGTTAAACGAGTCCACCGTATCATGGGCGCGCTCTCGGAGACAAAGCTCTGCAGCAGGCTGTACTCGCGCCTCTCTTCGGGGCCTAAACCAACACGAAGCCTTGTCTCGGACAGCGTGCCAGTCATAAGGTAGACTTCGTTCCTTCAGAGCCCATCTTGGTCTTTTATATATATATATATTATGCGGGCTTTCTATTTAGGCTAAAAGGAAAAAGAAGAGCGTAAAGCGTATCATGTAGCGAACAGCCTAGTTGGATGTTTTTCAATACGCACTACAACGTTATAATTCACACCTCGGCCCTTAAAGGAATAATTTCAGATTTAGTTAATTAGTCTGAATCAACGTAAAAAACTGGAAGCGCACAAAAAGTTTGGCATACTTTTGTAAGACGCTTGCTAAAGTTCCATTCACGCGATGCATCTTGTTGGCGAATCTTGTGTCGCGAAACTAGGTTTCTGGAAACAGATTCCCCGCCTGAACTCGACCGAAAACGTGGCGCACCTCCGAAAAAAGTGCTGCGTGTTCCTCGTTTTTGGAGCAATTTTTCGCTGAAACCTCACCGAGGCCTGTCAATCACCCGAATGAGAAACGCGGGCGCTGCCAATGGCCGCTCGACTTCGCTATGACGTCTGACCTTCGAGGAGGAGCGAGCTTTTGGAGGAGTCCGATTTTTCGCCGATTCCGTATCCGAGCCGAAGCCGAAAAAAAACAAACAAACATGGCGAGCGACAAGCGGAGAAGCGGTGCGTACGGGCGATGAGTCTGGGTCCTACTCGGTTGCAGCTGCGTGATCAGCGCTTTAGCAGTACGGGTTGGTGGCGCGCTGCAGATTCATCAACAGTCGCGACGAGTGCAAGTAACGCATATAAACATGACGGCTGGGGATAACTTTCTTTATTAGCAGTGCAAAAATGTCCGAAATGCTTCGAGATCATTTGCCTGTTTTTTGACGTTCGCGGTCTTTCCCGAGTTTGGCAGGAGTAGTAAACCCACTGAACCGAATCTATCGAAGTTTGTATACTAGTATTAATGAAACATTGTCTATTGACCCTGTGCGTACTTCATATCATTGTTATGCGAAACGCTTGATATTCCCGGTGCAGATGACAAGGTTTGGTGAAATTCTCGTGAGTCAATACGTCACAAGTTTCGCGCGTTAAGCTCCACTTGTGAACAGGCCGATTTCGCGAAATCTCGGTTTTGCTAAACTGTGACGCGTTGAAAAGATGCATCGTGTAAGTAAGCCTTAACAAGATTCAGTTGCTCCTGTGCACTTTCGTAACCTCGAGCTAGGTGAAGCAAAAACACCTATTAGACGTGTTCACCGTAATTTTCAGGCAATTAGCAGCTAAATACGCTTTGTTAAGAACTTTCATTTAGTGGAGAGGGAAACATAATAATATTGGGCATATGTTATGAACTGCATTCAATTAAATTTGAATTGAATCATGTACAAGATATCAAAATTAGCTCCTAAATAAAGAGTATATAATCATCGTACAAGTGCTTACCTTCTCTGTTGGAAAATAAACCTTTTCACTGGTCGATACATCTTTATATCTCTCAGTTCATTGAAAAATGTAATAAATATTTGTGGCGAGGTTCAAAGAGCTGATAACTCTCATTTCCGACATATCTATTGCTGAGGAGCTTGATAAAACTCTATTTTTGTTTGCATTTTTTTTTTCATGGGTGGGCATTAATTGGCACAAAGGCACGGCAACATAAAAAATACTTTTCAAAAACGTTTTCGAGCTTACGATCCTGGAAAACACGGAGAGTCAATGACAAAAAGTACAAGAAGGATCCCGGCAAATGAAAAAGCTCAGGCTACAGTTAGACAACAAAATAATATGTGCGCATATAGATTGAGCATGATGTTTCATTTGCTCAATCTCCCTACGCACATCGTAACCTTTAGATCCCATAGTATTCTGAACTTTGTCGCTCGTTCGGATCCTTCGGCCAACCAGAGCAAACCTTCCCTGAGCTCTACAGGATTACCTGCCTTCGTGCTCTGCGGGAACGTGAACTGACAAACTTTCTGTTTAGAGTGCGGAGTCGCTGACAGCTTAAGTAAGGAAAAGTGTGGCTTATCTGTGTTCACGCTCCTTACTTCCTGATTGGCTCCCCGGCGTTCTTATTGGCTAACGCAGCAAGTTCATTGGTTGGGGAGCGTTATGCTCGGGACTCGCCGCGCCCTACTCTGCTTGGACTGCGTGTGACTATAATTTTATACGTCTATTTGGCCGACATACTTCCTTCTGCTTGTCTTCGGGCAGCAACGAGGTACCCAGAGTCGAGAAGCGTCTGAAGATGGTGCGCGTTTGCTCATCCTTGAACGTGGTCCACTTGAATTGCGTCATGTTCTTCCAAACCTCCTTGTAGAGGGCACCAGACACCAGACTCTGCTCGATCTGCAATGAAAGAGCCGACGGCCTTACCTTCGGCGCACAAGGCATACCGTAGGTTTCAGCGTGGGCGTGCGACACCATCCTGCCAATACGGCCATTTGCTCCCTCTTATAGCAAAGCATGGACGAAGTATGGGCAACTTTAATCGTTTAGCATTAATTTCATTCTATGCCTCCGAGTGAATCGCTCCGATGCCTGTTTAAACAAATTCACTTAGCTGCAAATCCCAAACTAAGTCTGAACGGATGCTGGCAGTCTTATTTCCTGATTGCCGGACCCGTTTCGTAATAATAATTTTGAAAATAATTAAAGAAACGTGCCCCAAAACAAACAGCCTCAAGAAGAACGGTTTGATTCTGTGATAAAATTGATGTTCGAAAAGATACTAAAGGAAGTTAAGGTTTAGTGTTATTTTAACCGTAGTGATAAAATATAAGACGCGAGTATTCCCGGCGTTACGGGCGACGCAGCTTCGGCGATGACGCGCAACGCCGAAGCGTAATTTTGACAAGATGCCACGACGCAGCTGGACCGAGGGTGAGAAACACGCGACGCGAATGCGGGGCCTGGACGAGACGTCACGACGCAACTGGACCGAGTGACCAAATCAACTTGATAGCTGAGCGAATCTGCGACAGCTGCAGTTATGTTTTAAAGATCACATGAGCAGGTAAAATATGCTACGTTATGGGTATCATTATCTCTATTCCGAAAATCAAGGATGTGCGGATATTTCTTTGGAAAACCTCAAAAAATTGTGAGCCTGAGTTTATTTTTATTTTTTACTTTTCCTTAGAAAAATTAAACTTGCCTTGATCATTATAAACCCGGGGGGGCATAGAATGTTTCCCGCGTGCGTTAAGATTTTTTATGCTTGGTTGCCGGGAACTTTGGATGATTACGGGCGCCCTGCATGCACGACACACTCTTATGTTCTCCGGGGGATTATCAAAATTGTCAACCCAACATTAAGTTTATTCACGAGTGGAACGCTTTATCGTGCCTAGTTATGATTACTTATTAAATATTATGCCTTCTATACGCGTTGGATGCTTGTGCATTTCCTGCATTGGGCTATCCATGTTTTATGTAGCCTTGGCCTACGTGTAACCCGTTTTCGTAACACTCGAGCTTTACCCTTTTGGCATACAATCTAGACCATGAACACATTCTCTCTTAAAACTGAAGTCGCATTATTCCCATTGGTCAACTTTTACAGTATTTCTCAGCTTTCGGGTTTGTTTAATCGTGTACTTTCAACCAAAACGGTGTAAACGTTTGTAGAAGTATTTCCCGATATTTGGAAGTTGTTTACTCTGTTTCCAGATGTTTACGTAGTTCAAACTCGAGTTTGCAACTGCTCGATCGAAGTCACGTGGCTTAGGGACCGCGTTTGCAATACGAGCTGCCAGGCTATGGCAGAAAGCTTTTTTTGTCTGCAAATGACCCTGCCTTTCCGTTCGCTTTCTTCCTGGCCAGGCGACAACCTAGCGCAGGCGCACTTGCGACCAATCGGCGCAGGAGTCGTCCGCCATTAAATTGCAAGCGCCCCCCACGGTTTATGATGGGAATTCTCTTCAATCTATGCTCACTATTTAAAAAAGAAATCACTTGTTTCGCGGATCATGGGTTGTCAAAATAGCCCAATCATTAAGAGGTATATTTAATAGCAACTTTAACCTGGAAAAGAAGAAAGCGCTAGATCTGGATCCGTAATAGTTTTTTATACTCCCTTTCTCTTGAGAAAAATACCTCGCATCCCCTACAAGCAGTCAGATTATATTAAAACAAAATTGGTCTATCAGGTCTTTTTTTTTATCAAGGTAAAAGTATTTACGCAGGCATGGCGTAGCAAAATTTTCAGTTTGCCCTGCAGCACGCAATTTCTTCGTCTAAATTTAGCGATAAAGATTCCTTTTGTTTTAATTAGAGGCACTATACTTGCTAAAACAGCACTTCTCTAAAAAAAAATCACAATAATTTCTCCGACAACAAGTTATGCCCGAGGCATTGAAATGATTCAATGAAAGACTTCACAGCCATGACTTGCTAGGACGTGAGTTTTCCCGGCGCTGCGGAGAACACAGCTTCGGCGATGATACGCACCGCTGGAACTTAACTATTACAAGACGCCAAGACGCAGGTGAAGAGAAGGTGCGAAACACACGATATGGAAATGAGGCCTTAAAAATACGTCATTACGCAACTGGACAGAGAGGCGAAATCAACTTGGCAGCAGAAAAAAATCTTCAACAACTGCCATTTTCATTTTTTTTGCGCTTTTCATAACGTTTAAGTCTGAGGCCTCTACAGCTAGAAAGTATTTGAAGTTTTAGAAAGGAACTTACACTCAAATTCTTGTTATGTTCCGTCAGATTGTTGCCGTAGTTCCACGATACCTCGGTAGACTTCAAACACATGTCTGTGAGTAAGACCTCCGCTTCCTTTGCGTACATCTTTCCCCGTTCCTCATCAAGAATCTCTCCTTCTACAGGTGCCTTTGAAGCGCACTCGACTCCGGACCCAAGAACAAGGAAGCAGTAGACCAGAAACCAGGACGTCTCCATATCGCAGCGCCGGGAGAAAGGCTTACAGTGCACTTCTTCCGGGGCAAGAGGCACCTTTTATAACGAGCAGTGCCCTTGGACCGGTTCGACGGTTCATTCGCCCCAAGTTCGCCACCCGTTTATGGCGACGTATTCAGAGTGGAAAGATACCAGAAGGAATCGGTTGGTTTGAAGAGACCACGAGAGAGAGTGTATTCAGCGATAAGCGTCGACCACAAGCCGTCGAACGTGATGGGTCGCTGCGATACTCCCCGGAAATGGATGGAGCTTTGTCCGCTCCGATGCTTGTGGGCATGGTCCACGCGGTCGGTACATTGCAAAGGAGCCTGTGGCTAAAATCCTTTGTCATTGCAATTTTCGGAGAAAAAATAAATTCTAAACTGCAGAAGATCTATTGGCAGCCCAAAAAGAAACAGCCTGAATTGGGTTAGGTTTTGAGAAAGTAGACGTTACTCTTAGGCTTACATCGGAGGTAAACTGATTAGTCCAAAGCTTATTGGCGTAGCCACTGACAAGGTGAAAACGACATGGAGGAGCTTCACCACTCGAGCCATAAGTGCAAGCTTCCTATCTTCGACGACGCTCAGCCTGTCGTAAACCTCGAGCGGGCGCGCGCACCCAAAGCACGACGGATGACATCGGGAACATGCTAGAGTCTAGGCGTTCGAAAGACATGCCCTGCCGTTATTATTCATAGTCTTTCACACGGAATTTATTTGAAATTAAAGTTTTTTACACACCGTTTACCGTAAAGTAGTTCATAAGCGTTTTGTATTGGCATGCAGTCAGGGCACCACTAAACAGTTATATTTCTAAAGTGACGAAGCGGGTGAGCTGGTTCATGACATAATATTTAAACTCGCTAACAAAGACGAGGACAAAAAAGCGCTCGTCCTGTTCGCCATCCTTTTTTGTCCTGTCTTTGTTAGCGCTTTTGTATTTTAAGTTATATTTCAGCAGGCTTCAGCATCAAAGTCCGACACTGCTAACTGAAAAAATCGCCAACGTTTTATTTTTTTGTGAAATTATAACTAGAGCAGAGATTTCCCGGCACATGTCCTGATTTTGAAGTGTCTCATTAACAGCGTAAGCTACACTACGCATCTTTCAACCAATTTCTATTTGGTCTTCATTAACTTTGCTGTCCAGAATTGTCCCTATTTTATATTGAATGTCTGGAAAGATTTAATATTGACCCGATTGCCCTGAATTTCCGTTAAGTGTCCAGCTACATAACTGAAACGCCTGTATACAACGTGCCTTTCCCCATTGATAATATTTTGCATCAGCAAGGAGCCAGCGTGGCATTCTTTCGCCAACGGCTCCTACGGCGTTCAAACTGCATGCGCTGCGCCTCATGTGAGCCGGCCGCCTTCCCTGCCTTCTAAAGCGCTAGGTATGCTACGCCACCGACTTGTAAGTGTCAATATTCCCTTTCACGAGCTCGATCACACAGAATTTCATATTTCATTCCTAAGTTGTCTGGATAGAACCTCCCTGACAGGACATCCCTCATAAAATCGAACCTCGAAAGGATCTACCGGGTAGGTATTTAGAGCATTCGTGCACATCTGATTGACTCGGAAGTACATTTTCAACAGAACGGGATGACTGATCCACGCGACCGTTTCGTTGTTAATGTACTTGTGGCTTCCCTCGACAGATAATTTTGTTGGCCCACGATCCTAGGTGTTAGCTTTGAGGAGGAAACTAACGGAGGGACGATTCAGCATGAATTTGACTTCTTGCCAGAGGTTGTGGCTCGATTGTGCCCTGTATAAAATAATGATTGCCCTGACAACTGTCCAAGCTTCGTATATGAAACCCGCGTTCCAGAGTCTCAAATACATATTTACTAACCTAAAGCTTGTTACTTGCATTGCTCGCGCACTGAATCGCGTGCTGATTCGCCACTTGCACCCCATGGTAAATTCACTTTTTTCTGATCTGGAAACGTGCTTTCACTATCTGTAAAGCAACCTTCGCTCTTCGCCTCCACTACAAACCTACCCTTACTTCCTGATCTAGAGGTAAATCGTAGGGGCACATTTCTAAAAGCAACAATGTACTACGCAAAAAAAACGCGGCAATGTGGCACTTTGTGAAAAAAAAAACCTTGCATTTGCTTTGTAACTACTGAAGATGCCTCCCGCATGCGAGGCGAAACGTCTAGTGAAATTGTTTTTCCTGTTATGTCAAGTCGGTGCTCTTATTTTAATTAAAATTAAAGAGGGCAACTACTGCCGCGAAGCTTTTAAAGGAAATTTTGACCAGGGACGCTCTTGCCAGTGAGCCCCACAGTGTCGAAAAGTGCCGATTTATTCCGAGCGCGATTGCAAGGCAACCGCGAGGATCGATGTAGAGACGCAGTTTAAATCTAGAATTATGTGGCACAGAAGTTGGACGGTTTGCTCAAAGAGAAATTTCGCAAGTCACATGAGAAAAACTATGAAATAGAGTGGGTTCGTTCACTAAAACACTCCAAATGGCGTTTATAACTTGGACGCAAAACGAGCCTTCAGGTTTTTGCCGCTTTTCTTTGTGCAAGTTGAGCAATCGTTCTCCGACTAACAGAAAAAAGGCACAACCAAGGCATTTTCTCCTACACGCGAGAATAGAACGTGCGTACTAAAAGAGCAGAATAAATATTTCAACGCTAATAAACGCTCTGAGCGTACTCGCAGAAGCGTAAATTTCAATGGAAAGTGTCTCGATGTTAGAACTGCATACAAAGACCAAAGTCTGAGGCACACTTTGCCAAATTTGTTCAATCATCTGTCCCGTAATGAAGAAGATATACATAACGCATCATTTAAACAATTACGGAACTTTTTACAACTATGAAAAAGACAGAAAACAAAAGTGTGCGCCGCGCTGGCCGCCTTCAATTTGTATTTTTGTTTTAGTTTACGACGCAGTGTATTGCATTATATACCGTATTCCCATCGCGTTTCTCGGATGTTGGCTGTTTCTGTGTATTTTATGTAGATCCCTCGTACTGTGTACATTCCTTTTTTACATATTCTGCTATTTGAATAGGCAATGAGCATCTACGCAGTAAACAACTTTTCTTTTCATTAGTATGTCAACCGTTAATTTGGGTTAACATTTTTTTTTCTAAGTTCAGGCTGTCTAAAGAAAGTCGAGTTTTGTGTAACGATAGGGAAAGTGCTAGTCAGTTTCTCAATGTTGCTTAATGTGTCTACCCATTGCTCCTGACACGCCCTTTTGTATTTTCACTAACTATTTGACTTCCTAACTCTTCAGTATATATTTTTCCATTGCCACCGCCACTGCCTCTGTAGGCTGGCCGAGGGCCTTGTCAAGCTGATTTATCAGTTTTTTCTTCGGCCTTTCTTCAGTTTTTGTTGAATGGGAAATAAACTACGTGATTTGATTTGATATAATTTAATTTGATGTTTGGCATTTCCTGTCCTGATTTTGTTTTGATTTCGGTACTAATTTTGTCTCGGAAATTTCAGTTCTAATAACTAATAGTATGGTTAAATTTATTCAAAATGAGTTCTAGCATAAACAACAAAATTTGGTTTTCATCAATATTGTGGTCGCCTCGACTACATAACAGACGCGACGACGGGGCGCACAGACTACCACTGAATGAGAAATTGAATCCACACCCCTGCCCGTATCGATCTGGATGAGCATTGTACCGGCGTGCGGTCGTGTATCACTACTGCGTGGTGCACGTTAAAGACACCAGGTTAGCGGTTGTACCGCACAGGCTAAGTTGCTCATCTACAGCTGAGACACCAGACGCCCACCGAGGCAGGCTAACTTCCGGCTGTATAAATATTAACACAACAATTTTGTGCTGGAAAGGAAATAACACGAACAGTGCGAAGTTCACAGTCAAGGAAGGGCTTCCATTCTACCCAGGTATGTACCCTCTTGAAAATCTCATTTATATGAGAAATGTTCGTGTCCAATAAACACATATGAATCATGCAAGAAATATAAGAACCTATAAGAACCATATAACAAACTTGCGAAGCATTTCCTATAAGTTTCTTATGTGGTTCTTATATGCTCTTATGTATTTTATATGGTTATTTATTGTTGTTACATGTTTTTATATATCTTGTATGATTCATAAGTGTTAAAGGTAAACATTAGAAAGAAGTCTGTTTAGTTGGGGAAATAATTATTAAAATATGACGACCAACCAATCCCTAAATCAGGGGCCCAACGTTTCGAAACCGGTTCGGCTTCTTCCTCCATAGTCGCCCCTGAAGAAGAAGCCGAACCGGTTTCGAAACGTTCGGCCCCTGATTCAGGGATTGGTTGGTGGTCATATTTTAAAAATGATTCATAAGTTTTTATTGGACACAAGACATTTCTTATACAAATGGCTTTTTTTCACTAGGGTACCGACTCCACAACATTTATTATATAAAAACAATTCTCCAAAAAAGCTGTAACGCCTTGTTCGCGTTAAGTTTATCGCGCAGCGTAAATTGGTGATTGCGGACACGCGCTGGTTAACTTACATGCCTTGGTGAAATGCGGCCAGTTAAGTGTTAGACGGTGTTGGCCAATTACTAACAGCTCCATTCAGGATCTTAACGCATGAGAAATGTATAGTTTGCATTTAGAACAGCCTGCGGCTGGCAGTATTAGTTTCGTCGTTGCAATCTATCAAATAAACGAAAAACGGGCACATGATGGCTTAACCTAAATTTACTATACGTCGTTAAAGACAATAACAAGCGATGGTCACAAAGTGAATTCGGCAGGTAAAACTAAAAATCTGCTAAGAAAAAAAATTGTTTTTATTTCCAGCAGCAACCTTTGTCAATGCTATTAAGTATCACAATGAAGTGTAGATTACCCCTAATTTACGCACATTTTCATAGATTAGGTAGCTGAGTGCGCTTCGCTGCAAATCGGAAGATAGAAAGTCTTTCGTTGGAAAATTTTAGATTTGCAGGCGTTGGGTTGGTTAGGGTTTGATTAAATTCCGCTGACATATTCATGCGGTG